AGACACTTTCCACGATATTATTTATGTATTTATATAATAATATAAATAATATACCGTCAAGTCGGATAATTTATCACAGGATGTTGAGAAAAAGGTGGTTTCAATTAAAACACATTCCTACTGGTAAAGGCAGTCGTCACACTACTGACATTACTGGTGTATATTAGGTGCTGTGTCAGAACATGTGCGATTATGGATCACTGCAGCAGTTGTGGGACCTCCGTCTGAGTGAGCAGCATCGTCTCACGTAGGTAATGCTGTAATTGTACCAATTCGATCAATAACCTCGCGACTAAACCAGGCTCCGCTGAATGTATGAGGCATGACATTCCGCTGTTAGCGGGTGTCCGAACCCTACTCACAGAGTACATTCCACGCTCCCTGTGTTGGCTGTACGACTGACGTACAACCCACCAAACTTGGCGGCGAGGGAACTAGGTTGTGTTGCGAGATGAGGTGACGTTTGAGTGTGCGAGTCAAACTTAAGCCATTTGTGACTAGAGGTCAGGAACACATCGTCTCAATGAGGAGGCACCAGGAGGTACAAAACAACCACAGACGTCACGCAGGTTTGTAGGTGAACACAAACAGAAGTAGTCTATTTATTAAATGGTATACGTCTTAAAAGAGAGGAGGTAGGTTAGAGACTAAGACATTTGCCGTCAGAGCATTAATTTTTGGTTGTAAGTTCGTACTACTTACGCGTACTCGTTGAATCTACGTCCCACCGGAGTTGGAAAAAACTTGGTTCTAGAATGAAAATTTCAACGGTCAGACGGCTCTAGATGGATCAGTTTATCTCTCACCCCCCCCCCCCCCCCCGACCCCCACGATCGCTTGACAAGTTAGAGCCCGCCTCGGACGACGACAGCCCCTGTGCCACCCCTGGAGAAACCCAGTTGAAGTTACGTGACGGGAAAATTTTGGTATTTTTTAATTCCCGCCACTGCCCGCGGCAGTCGCTTAACTCGACGAGGAAACTGCATGGCCGACAAGACAACCTAAGAGGTCTAAGGATGTCTACCGGTCAGGCGCCTCCCCCTTTTTATGTATCCGGATGGCCTTCGATTTTTTTCGCACGTTTGCCCTGCCACCAAGGGTACCTTTGTTTTGAATTTTATAATTGTACTTTTGTTTTAAGTAGAAAATTTTAATCACAAAGTCCTTCACAAGTAAGAACAAAAGTTAAAATGAAGACCACAGAAACATGAATACAATAACCACATGAGGCATACATTTAAGGTCAACATAAAAACAAAACACAGACCACGTGGAGTCCTGAAAGGAACAAACATAATAACAGAATACATCACACACATTTCAAATAGAAATAAAAGCCAATGTAAAAAGATAGGTCTTCAGTAGTTTTTTAAAAGCTTCTACAGAGACTGCAGAGTGGATGACTATAGGGAGAGAGTTCCACAGTGTTGGAGCTCCAGCTGAAAGGCACGGTCACCTTTCGTTTATGGACGAGACCGTGGGACAGCCAGTAGGCCCTGGTCTGAAGACCTAAGTGACCTACTGCAATGTAAGGATGGAGAAGGTCACATATATACTCCAATACATTTCCACGCAGGGCTCTACATGTAATAACTGCTAATATGCAAGTTAATTAACAACTAGTTGATGGTGAATTTCTGTACCTTAATATAAAGTGTTACCTATTTTTGAAAAACAGTATAATAGTGGACCTTAAAAGATCATTTCATAAAACTACCATTGGACGTGATAACAAAGTTGTCAGCCAATGGGGAGTAGTGGATGTGATAGGAATACAATTATAATGAAACAAATAAGCATATATATGTAGTGCCATTCTTTGCTTTAATTGTATTTAGGTAGGANCACTTGTTCTTTTACCAGCTGTATTCACCTTGCAGCTGCAACTTTGTTGCTTTTATCCTGGATAAAGTGTTTAAGTCATGGATGTTTAAAGTTTAACTTCTTCATATTTGACTAATATTATAGTTGACTTTTCATTCAGGAAGTATGACGCTGCGCTGTCAGTACGCTTCTCCATGTTTGTGATTGGTCGAATGCTCCAGATACCACCCCTTTTTTGTGAATGCGCACCTAACTAGATAGGAAACAGCTGGCTTGGGCGAACGAGTTGATCGCCAGCGTTGTAGGACAGTTTAGCGAGAGCGCGTATGTTNGGGAGCACATGCGTTAATTTTTTTAACGCGTTAATTTTTGTTTCATTAATTAATCTTAATTAACGCGTTAAAGTCCCGGCCCTAATAATAATACATTTATTTAGTATAGCACCTTTCACAGAAATAGATTTCACAAAGTGCTTCACAAGTAATAACAAAAGTTAAAATGAATACAATAACTACATGAGGCATACATTTAAGGTCAACATGAAAACAAAACCACGTGAAATCCTGAAAGGAACAAACATAATAACAGAACACACAGAAATAAAAGCCAATGTAAAAAGATGAGTCTTCAGTCGTTTTTTAAAAGCTTCTACAGAGACTGCAGAGTGGATGACTATAGGGAGAGCGTTCCACAGTGTTGGAGCAACCAATTGAAATGCACGCTTTCGTTTTTAAACGAGACCTTGGGACAGCCAATAGGCCCTGGTCTGAAGATCTAAGTAACCTAGTGGCGAGGTAAGGATGGAGAAGGTCACATATATTCCGGTGCATGTCCACGTAGGGCTCTATGTAATAACCAGAACCTTCAAATCAATTCTAAGACGAGTTGGGAGCCAATGTAAGGATTTTAAAATGGGTGTAATGTGTGTCATCCTGCTTGACCTGGTTAACAGTCTGCCAGCAGCATTCTGGACCATTTGTAGACGGTTGAGAGATGACTTGCTGAGACACGTGAAAATGGAGTTACAATAATCCAGCCAGGATGATATAAAAGCATGAATGATAATTTCAAGCTGCGCTAATGACACAACAGACCTGAGCTTTGCAATATTTCTGAGATGGAAAAAGCATGTACGGGTCAGTGATTTAACATGCTGATCAAAATGCATTGCCTGATCAAATGTCACACCAAGATTTCGTAGATTGGACCGAACAGCTGAGGAAAGGGACCCTATACTCTTTGCAACTTTCGGAGCTATACTGTCTGACGCAATGATGAGACCCTCTGTTTTGTCTGCATTAAGCTGCAAGAAGTTGTTAGACATCCAGTCCTTAATGGTATTTAGACAGTTGCTGCCACAATAGCTGCCTACTGCTCCTAGAACCAGGGTTGGTTGAGTGCAGGGACTACATTTCACTGTGTGCAATGTTGTGTAGATATAGAAATGTGTGACGATTAAAGGAGCCCTTTTATGCTTTATGAGGTGTGCCCCCGCCTGTAGTGTGTTATATAGGTATTTGTGCATGTAAATGGCCTGCAAAGTCTAAAATCCCAAAGTTCCCTCCCAGAGGTATTTTCTCTCCCACACCCACACACCCCCACAACCACCCCATGCCACAAACGCCTCCGTTGGATTCCTTTGTTTACTTCCGTAACATAGTGACATCACTAAATAACACTCGCCCTTTTATTGGCTTGTGCACCAACACATTGTGCGTGATAGGCTAAGGGGCAGGACATCTAAGCGGTTAACCAATCACAACAGAGCAGAATAGCTAACCAATAATGCACCTTTTTGAGCATTAAAGCATGCAAACATGTGACAGTACAGACACTAAATACATGTTTTGACAATTAGCATAATATGTCCTCCTTAAAGTAGAAACTCATACAGATCCTTCAATTTAATTTCTCATAACATTTTTAATTACAAAGTTAATCATTTAAGGTTCAAGCTTTTTTGTTCCCTTTTTAATAACGGCCTCCATTTTTTTTAAATGACCGGGGTGATAGCTCCTCACTAACTGTGACCTCTCCTCTAAGGTGGTAAGGGCATTTTGGACGTGCAGCCTCACTGGGTATCGGCGCTGGCTTGGCCTGAAGAGGAAGCAGAGTCTTTGTGGTGCGGGGAACCAAAGGACATGCTGTTGGTGGGACGAATGGACGGGTCTCTGGGCCTCATCGAGGTGCTGGACACCTCCAGCATGCACCGCACCGAGCTGGAGCACTGCTACAGGAAGGATGGTAGGGAAAGGGAGCTTTTAATAAGGGCTACATCTATGTATTTCTCTGGGAATGTGTTCGACTAAGACAGTCTAAAGGACAGATTGTCAGAAGTGTAAAACTGCATCCGTTAAAGTGAGTTGTTCTTCCTCCCTCAGTGGCAGTGATGCACATTGCTTGGTACAGTGAGGACAAGCCTTTCGCTGTGGGCTACGCAGATGGCAAGCTGCTGATAGGGTCCAAAGAGCCCTTAGAAAAAGGAGCCATCGTAGTCATTGATGCACACAAGGTAAACTATTTTGACTTATTTCTACTCTTTCTTGAAGTTCCCCTCAGGACTGACTCCTCTGCATGTTGTTTTCCCAGGAGTCGATCACCAGCATGAAGTGGAGTCCCACGGGTCAGATCCTGCTGACCTGTGCCAAAGAGGAGACGGTGAAGCTGTGGGCCAGTCCGGACCCTCACTCTGACTCCGACTCAGGTTCTGGTTGGCGCTGCCTGCAGAGTCTGAGACACCCCTCCCCTGTTAACGGTGTGGCCTGGTGCAGCCTGCTGGGGCGTGGCCCAAAGACCCTCAACATGTTAGCCATGTAGGTTGTCTACAAAAACTTGATTACACTCACTGATTGGATGAATGGTTATGAGATGTCTCTTCACATCCTACACTTATGTTGCCATCATCCTTTAAATGAGTTCCTTCAAAATGCCTGTCTACCGTTTTGTCTTTGGTAATGTGACAATATTGCTGTCTGTCTACAAGAAGGTATAGAGTCATTATGAGCAGAAAATGGGCAATATTCTCAAAGGCTCTTTTATGTGCTAGATGTGATGTAAAGTAACTAAGTACATTTACTTAAGTATTGTACTTGGGTACAGTTTTGAGGAACTTTCCCTTTATTGCTTGTTTCAATTTGAATCCAAATTGGCTTCTCCTCCACTAAATCATTAATGATCTGTTATCAAATCTTAATACGAGTTACTTTAAACATTTTTTAAGTTTTTCTTACAGCTATAGCAGTAATATGCTGCAGTGCATCGGTAATAATATTCATATAATATAAATAACTACCAACTGTTATAACTCTGAATTGGACCATTCTGCTGCAACAACAAATACTTTGAGTTGAACACTTTCAATGAAAAAGAGTGGTGTTGCTTATTTTACTTCATTCAATGATCTGATTACCTACTCCAAATATGGATTTAACTGTATCGGCTTATTTACAACAGTAACTTAACATTCAAACAGGCCCATTTGAAATGTTTTAAGTTGCATTCTCAAGGAAACATTTTCATTCTCATCTGTGGTATCCTTTTTAACACATAGATGATATATTTACATGAAATACTATTTATTGTGGGTTTTAATGTGTCTCTGTGTATTTTCAGATGCTGCCAAAATGGCCTGGTCTCAGTCTGGACTGTTCCTCAAAACATCTGCAATTACCCAGAATCCGTTTCCTCTGAGTTGGAGGGATGGTGGGAGAATGAAGCAAAACCCAGATTCATGGTACATATTCATAAATAATAACCTGAGATGATGTTTTTCTTTTATTAATTTGCAATACTACTTTTGTAATGGAGGCAAGCTTATGTATTCCTGTACGTTTGATGAAGGATTGAGGGCATTTTGTCTTGGCTTCTTGATATTTCTGACACCTGTTTTATCTCTTCACACAAACATAGAGTCGTAGGAGAAAAGAAGCTGCATTCTTCCACTCACCTGCTGTCACTGTGTTGCAGTCTTCCCGGTGGTCAGGTAAAGGTGCAACGTGTGTTTTCCAGCTGAAGGGCCACATCACCCCGGTGAGAACGCTGGCCTTCAGCCCCGATGGTCTGGCTCTGGCATCTGGAGGAGTGGGAGGCCTTATGAACATCTGGTCCCTGAGGGTAAGATACAAACAGAAATGCAAATACTGCAGGTAAAAGTCGTATGCATTGAAGAACAAATGATTTAATTCAAATTCATCTTACTATCTAACTGGTTCATCTTGTGTTTGTGTGTCTAACAGGACGGCTCAGTGCTCCAGTCAGTAGTAGCCGGTTCAGGTGCAATCCAAAATATAGTCTGGATCCCAGATGTAGGTGTTGCTGTCTGCTCCAATAGGTCAAAGGTACGTTATCTTAGCCTGATGTGTATTTTTCATGTTTCTATCGGCATCACTGAATCTTTATTGTCTCTCTGGTCTGATAAATTCCAGGATGTGCTGGTTGTGAACTGCTCCAAAGACTTCATGGTATCCAACCATGTGCTGGCCACTTGCCGCACCGCCCTGAAGAAGCAGGGCGTGGTCGGCCTCAGCATGGCACCCTGCATGAGGGCCTTCCTGGAGAGACTGCCTGTCATACTGCAGGAGCAGTACGCCTACGAGAAGGTATAGGGACAGTTTTGTATCTATAGCCTCACAACATTTAATACATTATAGTATTTAATAACCTAGATATGTACAAGACCAAACACAGTTTGAACTTTTTTTTAGCACAAAGGGTTTTAGATCTAAGTAATTCAAAGCATTTGCTATGTTATTATTACTCCTTTATCTTTTACCATAAGCATGCAATAATGGCCCATTTCTCAAAATCTTTGAAAGTACAACCATATTGTATATTTACACTACATCCAGCTAATGGCAGCTTTTAACCTACTGTAAATAACAACATCCCTCCAGCCTCTCTAGCCCTGTGTAATGGTAACCTGATAATACACCTGTTATATTACTTAGTCAACAATAAACATCCAACACACTGTAGCCCATGTTAATAATTAACATGTGCTTTTATCACGTCAGCCAGCAGATGGTGGCAGTGGAAAGTCTAATATCATGTTACCTGATCATTATATAGTCATGTCAGTGGTGATAGCAAAACATTTATTGATCAGTATGTTTAACACAGTTGAGTTTTTAGAAGCTTTTTGAATGTTGGGAGATATTATTTTCCCAATATACACAACATTAAGAATCCCCAATGCCTAGATGCTGGTCTTTTTAAAACATACCAGTGTTTCCCCTAGGATGGAGTCATAGCAGCGGTGCCAAGGCACGTGGGCCCAGCATAATGTGAGCGCGGAGCGCGTGGAATTTTTTAGTGCGTGCGAAGTGCGCCCCGCCAATTTCTTTCTATGTGTCAGCACAAGAAAGGCTCTTGAGGCCTAGTACCAGGGCCGGTTCTAGACAATTTACTGCCCTAGGTGAGATTTTAGGCGACATTTTATATAAAGAATAAATAAAAAATCTCTACAAAAGACAAATACACTGCAAAAACAGAAACTTATTGACATAGGTAATATAAGTCAAAATGGCTTCAAATGTATTCAGTATTGTATAAACATGTTTGAATTGGGGGGTGGACGTCACATCCTCTAGGGAGGTCCGGGGGTATGCTCCCCCGGGAATTTTTTTTTTTTAACATTTTACAGTAAAATACTTCAATCTGGTGCACTTTGAGCACACAATTACTAGAGACCTGATCTAGGGGG